AGTTTATTATTATCATTATTATTATTTATCCTGCTTTTCTCCCATGGGATAAATCTATATAAGTAAAAATGTAATGTTTGTTTGTGGGATTGACAGAACTCAAAAAACACTGGACGAAATGACACCAAATTTGGAGACAAGATACCTAACAATCCAATGTATGTCCTTCACTAAAAAAATGATTTTGTCATTTGGGAGGTGTAGTTGCTGGGATTTATAGTTCACCTACAATCAAAGAGCATTTTGAACCCCACCAACGATGAAACTGAACCATATTTGGCACACAGTTCTCCCATGACCAACAGAAAATACTGGAAGGGTTTGGTGGGCAGTGTCCTTTGGTTTTGGAGTTGTAGTTCACCTACATCCAGAGATCACTGTGGACTCAAACAATGATGGATCTGGACCAAACTCTACACGAAGACTCAATATGCCCAAATGTGAACACTGGTGGAGTTTGGGGAAAATAGAATCTTGACATTTGGAAGTTGTGGTTGCTGGGATTTATAGTTCACCTACAATCACAGAGCATTCTGAACCCCACCAACGACAGAATTGGGCCAAACCTCCCGCACAGAAATCCTATGTGGGCCACAGCAATGCGTGGCAGGGGACAGCTAGTAACAATAATAACAATTTGATCATTCCCATCACTATTAACCTGCTTGACAATGTTGAGCCTCCCCCCATTTACAAAAAGTGCAGGAATCCTTCAGTAGGTAGAATGCATTATGGGGCATCCCAAGTTTTGTAATCATAATGGTAATCGTGCCATTACCGCTCAAGCAGGGAGCTTTGAGATGGTTGAACAGAAGCTCTCCGAAGCTCTAGGTGCTCTTACTGCCTATTACAGGGAAAACCAGATGATCCCTAATCCATCTAAAACACAGACATGTGCTTTTCATCTCAAGCTCTGAGGATTACCTGGGAAGGAATCCCACTGGAGCATTGCAGCACACCCAAATACCTGGGAGTCACTCTGGACCGTGCTCTGACCTAGGAGAAGCACTGCCTGAACGTCAAGCAAAAAGTGGGCGCTAGAAACAATATCATACGAAAGCTGACTGGCACAACCTGTGGATCACAACCAGATACAGTGAAGGCATCTGCCCTTGCACTGTGCTACTCTGCTGCTGAGTATGCATGCCCAGTGTGGAACACATCTCACCACACTAAAACAGTGGATGTGGCTCTTAATGAGACATGCCGCATTATCACGGGGTATCTGCGCCCTACACCACTGGAGAAATTAGCCGGCATTGCACCATCTGATATCTGCCAGGAAGTAGCAGCCAATAGTGAAAAGACGAAGGCAGTGACATCTCCAGCTCATCCTCTGTTTGGGTATCAGCCAGCACATCAACGACTCAAATCAAGAAATAGTTTTCTAAGATATACAGAGACACTCGCTGGAACACCTCAGCAAGCGAGAGTCCAAAAGTGGCAGGCTCAAACCCAGAATCTCAATCAGTGGCTGATACTAAATGAGAGACTCCCCCCTGGGCACAACGAAAACTGGGCAACTTGAAAGGCACTGAACAGACTGCACTCTGGCACCATGAGATACAGAGCCAACCTTAAGAAATGGGGCTACAAAGTGGAATCCACGACATGCAAGTGTGGAGAAGAGCAAACTACAGACCATCTGTTGCAATGCAACCTGAGCCCTGCCACATACACAATGGTGGACCTTCTTATATTGTCGAAGGCTTTCATGGCCGGAATCACAGGGTTGTTGTAGGTTTTTTCAGGCTATATGGCCATGTTCTAGAGGCATTCTCTCCTGACATTTTGCCTGCATCTATGGCAAGCATCCTGAGGTAGTGAGGTCTGTTGGAACTAGGAAAAAGGGTTTATATATCTGTGAAATGACCAGGGTGGGACAAAGAACTCTTGTCTGCTGGAGCGAGGTGTGAATGTTTCAACTGACCACCTTGATTAGCATTTGATGGCCTGGCGGTGCCTGGGGCAATCTTTTGTTGAGAGGTGATTAGATGTCCCTGTCTGCTTCCTCTCTGTTGTTGTGCTGTTGTAATTTTAGAGTTTTTTAATACTGGTAGCCAGATTTTGTTCATTTTCATGGTTTCCTCCTTTCTGTTGAAATTGTCCACATGCTTGTGGATTTCAATGGCTTCTCTGTGTAGTCTGACATGGTGGTTGTTGGAGTGGTCCAGCATTTCTGTGTTCTCAAATAATATGCTGTGTCCAGGCTGGTTCATCAGGTGCTCTGCTATGGCTGACTTCTCTGGTTGAAGTAGTCTACAGTGCCTTTCATGTTCCTTGATGCGTGTCTGGGCAAAGCTGCGTTTGGTGGTCCCTATGTAGACTTGTCCACAGCTGCATGGTATACGGTAGACTCCTGCAGAGGTGAGAGGATCCCTCTTGTCCTTTGCTGAACGTAGCATTTGTTGGATTTTCTTGGTGGGTTTGTAGATTGTTTGTATGTTGTGTTTCCTCATCAGCTTCCCTATGCGGTCAGTGGTTCCCTTGATGTATGGCAGGAACACTTTTCCTCTGGGTGGATCTTCATCTTTACTCTCGTGGCTTGTTCTTGGTCTTGCAGCTCTTCTGATGTCTGAGGTGGAGTATCCATTGGCCTGGAGAGCGCAGTTGAGGTGGTTCAGTTCATCTTGGAGGAGGTGGGGTTCGCAGATTCTTTTTGCACGGTCTGCCAAGGCTTTAATGGTGCTTCTTTTTTTGACTTGGCTGATGGTTGGAGTTTTTATGTAGATATCTATCTGTGTGTGTGGGTTTTCTGTAAACGGTGTGACCCAATTGTTGATCTGGTTTGCGGATGACTAGGACATCTAGAAAAGGCAGTCTTCCTTCATTTTCTTTTTCCATTGTGAATTGGATTTTTGGGTGGATGAGTTCTTCTTCTCCATGGCTCCAAATGGTGAAGGTGTCATCCACATATCTGAACCATATCGTGGGCTTTTTGGTTGCTGTCTCCAGGGACATCTAATTACCTCTCAACAAAAGTTTGCTCCAGGCACAGTCAGCCCATTGTATGCTAATCAAGGTGGTCAGTTGAAACATTCACACCTAGCTCCAGCAGACAAGAGTCCTTTGTCTCACCCTGGTCATTCCACAGTTATATAAACCCTTTTTCCTAGTTCCAACAGACCTCACTACCTCTGAGGATGCTTGCCATAGATGCAGGCGAAACGTCAGGAGAGAATACCTCTAGACCATGGCCATATAGCCCGAAAAAACCTACAATAACCCAATGATTCTGGCCATGAAAGCCTTCAACAATACACTTCGACTACACAGTCGACAATACACTTCGACTATGCCTGTGATGGGAATGATCACAGGCACAGTCAGCCCATTGTATGCTAATCAAGGTGGTCAGTTGAAACATTCACACCTAGCTCCAGCAGACAAGAGTTCTTTGTCCCACCCTGGTCATTCCACAGATATATAAACCCTTTTTCCTAGTTCCAACAGACCTCACTATCTCTGAGGATGCTTGCCATAGATGCAGGCGAAACGTCAGGAGAGAATGCCTCTAGACCATGGCCATACAAAAAACCTACAACAACCCAGACCTTCTTCTAGTAACACCAGAGGCACTCCAAGTGGCCAGCTACTGGTCAAAGGACATTTAATCAACTACCAAGTTTGCAAACTTTCTGTTTTGTTTGTTTGTTTAAAAATGCAATGCAACTGTTTGGTTTGCACTCCCTCTGAAGACACAGGTTCGCAGCTTGGGTGTGACCCTGGATTTGTCGCTGAGCCTGGAGCCCCAGGTCTCGGCGGTGACCAGGGGAGCATTTGCACAGCTCAGGCTCGTGCGCCAGCTGCGCCCGTACCTTGGGAAGTCTGACTTGGCCACGGTAGTCCACGCTCTTGTCACATCCCGCCTAGACTACTGCAACGCTCTCTACGTGGGGCTGCCCCTGAAGACGGCCCGGAAGCTGCAATTAGTCCAACGCGCGGCAGCCATGATTCTAACAGGAGCGGAGCGCAGGGAGCACACAACCCCCCTGTTGCACCAGCTCCACTGGCTGCCGATTTGCTACCGGGCCCAATTCAAGGTGTTGGTATTGGCCTATAAAGCCCTAAACGGTTCCAGCCCAAGATACCTAGCTGACCGCATCTCGGCCTATGAACCCACCCGGACTTTGAGATCTTCCGGGGAGGCCCTGCTCTCGATCCCGCCAGCCTCTCAAGCTCGGCTGGCGGGGACGAGAGATAGGGCCTTCTCGGTGGTGGCTCCTCGGCTGTGGAACGCCCTTCCTGTAGACGTTAGACTGGCACCATCTCTCATGACATTCCGTAGAAAGCTGAAGACCTGGATGTTTGTGCAGGCGTTTGAGTAATTTAGTGCAATTTTGGTAATTTGAACATAGGAACGGAACAATGGACGACGAATTTGGATTACGCTTGGATGATGAGGCGATTGGGGATGGGATTGTGATACCTGTGTATTGATGATTGCTTATTAGTGATTAAGGGAAATGTGTAATTTAACTGTTACTGTATATTAATTACTGTTGTTTTTATTGTCTTTGCTGTTTGGAAACCGCTGTGAGTCGCCCTCGGGCTTGAGATACAGCGGTATACAAGAATAGTAAATAAATAAATAAATAAATAAATAAATAAATAAATAAATAAATAAATTGCCCCTGACACGATAACTTGCTTGACAATGTTGAGCATCCCCCCATTTACAAAAAGTGCAGGAGTCCTTCAGTAGGTAGAATGCATTACTGGGCCATGCCAAGTTGAATTTGGGGGGGAGGGGGGTAACTACAGAGGCGCAACCAAGTTCCCTTGGGTTTCTACGGGATGCCAAAGTAGCCCTCCTGCCCCGCCCGCCCGCGCGCGCATCTGGAGAGAGCCAATCAAAACGGGAGACGGGGCAGGGAGGCACCGACGTCACATCGTGCGTTCGGGGTGACCCCTCCCCGTGCCTGTGTGATGTGGGGAAAGGTTTGAAAATCACCCCATTGGAAGCCCCGCCCCTTTGGCCCGGCCACGAGGAGGAGGCAGGAGGAGCGCGAGGAAAAAGAAGCCTGGCGCCGGCCGCGTGCGCAAAGCAGCCAGTCAGAGAGAGCGCGCGCGAGAGAGGCAGAGAGAGCGGCACGCGCCCACTCCTCACAGCAGACTCACCTGAGGGAGGAAAAGACTCCAAAGAAGGGTGTTTGAAAAGACTGTGAAGCCCACCATGAGCCCACTTGAAGCGACCCACGTCGCCCTGGCGGTCTTCCTCCTCAGCATCCTCGACCACGTTTCTGGCAACGGTAAGGAGTGGCTTCCAATGAAAGGCATTAAATGGTTTTCAATTGATTCTAATGTCTGTGTTGTGTTGACAGTTTGTGCCTATATTTGTATGTTTTTGCATTGTTTTGCATATGTGGAAACCACTCTGAGTCCCCTAGGGGAGATAGGGAGGCATTATTAATTATTAATTTATTATTATTATTATTAGAAAGTAATGGTGAAGCCTCAGGAGTCAAAAGGGTGGAGAGAGAGACTCAAGGGCTAAAGCTTTGAAGGCCTTTGCTCTCTGTGTGCAAACTTGGAGAAGAGTTTGGCCCCACTTTGAAATGCCCTGGCTCAATGTAGTTTGGTGAAAGCCAGCCTTCCCAGGTAAAAGCAAGCCCTGTATCTTGGAATTAGGGATCTATATTACTAGATATTGCCAGCCACATGACCTTGGAGGTGTCTACGGACAACGCTGGCTCTTCGGCTTAGAAATGGAGCACCACACCCCAGAGTCAGACATGACTGGACTTAATGTCAGGGGACTACCTTTACTATTACTAGGTGTAAGGGATCTGATCCCATCTATTCTTGAAAGCTAAGAAGGTTCACCCTGGCTAGTGCTTGGATGGGAGACCACCAGCAAAAACCAGATGCTATATTTCAGAGGAATTGAAGAAAACAACCCTGGGACATTGACCAGGCATCCAGGTTTACTACTCCAAGAGAGAGAGAGAGTCAGGATGCATCTTTCCACCTGGAAACCAATGCCCTCACTGGGAGAAGATGCAGGTCAAGAATAGGGCTCTACAGTCACCTACGGATCCACAAGAATACTGATCCTGGAAGACTATCCTACTCATCCAACGAGGGATTGCCTAAATACACTGTAGACCAGGCCTGGGCCAACTGGGGCCCTCCAGGTGTTCTGGACTTCAACTCCCACCATTCCTAACAACCTCAGGCCCTTTCCTTTCCCTCCTCAGCCACGTAAAGAAAGGAAGGGACCTGAGGCACACCCAAGGTTCCACAGCACCAACCCACGGCGGTCAAAGTGGTATGGAACTGGCATAGTTCTGAGGCAGCGCTTCTCCTTTTGCGCCTCAACCCAGAACACACCCAACCTGAGGAGAAACCCATCCTCCAACTCCTAAAGGAAAGGTCAAGTCCCAATGAATGCTGTGAATATTGGGACCTTCATCTTCCTACTCCTTCCTCTGTGTGAACTTTTCCTGTCATAATGGAGATAAATGGTGTCTTGTAAACTTTTGGAGCAAGAAAAAGGATGGTATTGTCGAAGGCTTTCATGGCTGCAATCACTGGTTGTTGTAGGTTTTTTGGGCTATATGGCCATGTTCTAGAAACATTCTCTCCTGACGTTTCGCCTTCATCTATGGCAAGCATCCTCAGAGGTTGTCGTAGGTTTTTCGGGATATATGGCCATGTTCTAGAAGCATTCTCTCCTGACATTTCGCCTTCATCTATGGCAAGCATCCTCAGAGGTTGTGACAACCTCCGAGAATGCTTGCCATAGATGCAGGTGAAATGTCAGGAGAGATTGCTTCTAGAACATGGCCATATAGATCAAAAAATCTACAACAACCGAGGAAGAAGGATTGATGTTTGGCCTGGGCTGAGGAAGAAGAAGGAGTAGGGGAGGAGGAGCCCCGCCCTTCCTTTCCTGCAGGCCAAAGGAGGCTCCACGCCCTTTCCACACATAAGTCTTCCCTCTCCCTTCTCCTTCAGAACCACCACTCAGCCTCTCTTCAAAGTCCTAAAGGTGCACAGCCTTCATACCCCCCTTTTGCCCCTTTGCTCTGCCTAACTCCCTGCAACCCTTCCTTTCTTTAAAAGGGGCGAATAAGAAGGGTAATGGCCTGCAGGCCACAGCATCAAAAGCTTTTTGACAAAAGCACTCCCTGGTTAGACGGAGCTCTCAAAAGAGACTGAGGGTGCATCCACACTGTAGAATGAATGTACTGTAGCTTGAAACCCCTTTAACTGCCATATTTCAATGGGAATTGTCACTTTATGAGGCTTGCAGTGTTCTCTTTCAAGTAGTGACCTCAGCAAACTACAAATCTCAGGCTCCCCTAGCATTGTGGTGGCATTTATAGCATTGTCACATTGCATTAATTCTAAAGTGGTCACTCATACCTGGATGCCCTGATTCATGGGAGCAGCATCTTACCTCTGCTCAGAGTGAGTTCTCCTTAAAACTGTGCTTTGTCACCTCATTCCACTTGCAAAGAAGAAAGCCCTCCCTTCCAGTAGGAGTTTTGCAACTTTTTAGCAGTAAGTGTAATTTTTAGCAGATGTGTAGCCAGACCCAAGCAGGTGAATAGAGTTAGCACCAATGACCATCATTGTTTTGCTTTTAATTGGAAATAATAGGGTTGGAAGAAACTCGCCCACCCAGTGCCTTCCTGCAAACACACAGTCCAAACATTCCCAACAGCCTCTGTTTGAAAACCTCCAGAGAAGCAGATTCCTCCACACTTGCAGGCAGCAGCGTATTCCACTTTTAGGCAGCTCTTACCATCAGGAATTTTTCTAATGTTTCGGTGGAATGCCTAACATGGGGTGGGGTTTTGTTGCATCTGTTGTGGGTGGGAGAGTGAATGCATCCGCTGCAGGTTGAAGGAAGTTGGGCTGGACGGGCGTGGAAGAGGAGGAGGCACCTTTTCTCTCTGGCGGCACTGAATCCAGCCAACCACTGTTCTGGCCTTGCCTGTTCCTTCACCTGTCCCCCACGCTCTCCTTGCCCATTGGCTGCTGGAGAAAACGGGCCATCTGATAGTCCGTGGACATTGGCTAGAGAAGCAGCAGCAGCGCTCCTCAGCTCTGTTTCAGAATATGCTTTTTGCCACTGAACATGTGCAAACCTAGCTTGTGTAAAAATTTTGCTTTTTGCTCATTTTCTCTGTAATTCTTTCAAGATTGCTAGCCTATTTTGCTCCTTTATTACCACCTTTGCTAGTTTGAAATCCCTTGTCAGATGGGCATGGTGTTTTTGAACTTTTGCCATGTTTCATTGTGTTTCCTTGTGAAAGGAAAAGGAATGCTACTTTTTAATTGTCAAAAAAGAGCAGCTTCAAAATCTTACATGTTCTTACATTAAAAGTTGGTAATGAAAAATGGTCTGTCTTTTCCAATATGTTTAGTCAATATGACAGGAACCAGATCCTGTGTGACTTGAAAGCTGAGTGGGGACAACCACGATTAGTCCTTCCATGAGAGACCACCAATGATACCAAATGCTGTTGGCTGAAACATTCATAGAAAGATACTGGGGAAATTACATCTTGAGTATTCCTTGCCAAGAAAATCCTACGGAAGTTGATAATTAACTTGAAAACACAGACATACTTTCTCTTCTAAACTCAATTGTAGTCAGAGTTGGGTTTTGAAGGCACATATTAGCAAAAATGCATCTATGCAAAGTTTTTGAAAATTGCACACGAGAGTTTTTGAGTGAAAGGTGCATTTCCTGTTAGGCAATTGTTAATAATTGTGGGACTTCTGTGCCTGTCTAATGTATCTGCCCTTTGGAAGCAAAGTTCAAAAGGACAGTAACACAAACCTTACTGTGCCAAAGCTATTTGCTTTAACAGTTGTGTTGCAGTGAACTTCAGTCATGTTTACAGAAAGAGGTTCTTGACCATTGTAGTTTATGTTCAGATGTGGTCTGTTTGTTGCTGTCTTCAAAATATTAGAATATCTGAGCTGCCACCCCAAATAATCCTTTACCTAATATTGTGCAGTATGTATAAACCATTACATTCTGTTAATAGGGAAGTACGCTGCTATTTCCTTCTCTGTGTTTTTCGTGGTGTATTTCTGCCTCTGCTTTCTGTTTCGTGATTTGTAAAATAAGTGCACTTTTGGAAAGAGAGTTGTGAGTGGTTGAGTGTTATTTCCATTAAGGTTTGAGCCATTAGTTGTTCACCAGAATGCCAATTTACATTGGACAGGTTTCCGGTACTACCAACGATTTCTCTAAAGCTGCAGTCCTAACCACACTTAGTTGAGGAAAGGTCCCATCTAAAAACAAAGTTATGTCCAGAATCAGCCTGGTGAAATTCAGCACACACCCCACAGTCTTAATCCCATTCACTCTCTCAGCAGGTCTGTGAGGCAAGAACAGGAGCAGCTTGAATTGATTTAATGCTGATTAACTTTCGTGTCAGTCTCAACGTAATTTTAAGCTCATGGTCCTTTGAAATAAGTGTGCATGCAGATGTACACCTAGAAACTGAAGAAAAATGCATGATTTTCATGATACATTTTACTCTGTTTGTTTTTTAAAAAATGTAACAGCATTTGTGTGCCTAATGAAAAGCTTCCATTTTTATGCAACAGATATATTAGAAAGGGCGAGGTGGGGTGGGGCAAGGAAAAATGAGCAATTTACCTAGAAATTAAAGGATATTTTCTTCACAGTGTTTTGTTAGGTTTCATCTCAGATATTTTGGGTCTGAGGATGACCAACTTTTACATTCTTCATTATCTCTGCATTTGCATCAGTTGCATTCAAGCATATTGAATATTGAATAAAACCTTTGGGTTTATCAGTGCAGCTCTGTGCTGTGCCTCCCATGCAAACCTAACATGAGGAAAACATTTTGCCCTTCATGCTGGACATTTTTTACCTTGTCTAATTCCACTTGCCTCTAAAACTCTGTTCTACTTCAAAGGATGAGTTCTTGTACTTAGTCTTATAAAGAGTTGCGAATTAACATAACTTATCACTATTGATAAAGCAGTGTCCTTGTGTCGGTTTGAGTTTCCCTTTTTTCTTTCTAAAGCACATCCCATATGCTTCCCACAAGTTATAGGTGGGTTTCTCCACTCAGTTCTCAAACTCAGCAGAGCTTTTTCAGTCTCCAATAAGTGTTAATTATTTTCATAAGCAGGCTTCTTTGGCCTCCCTTATCGGTGAACTTGATATCCACTTACATATACTCCAATAAATATTCCTCATTGGTCTTAAATGAGCATTTCTGAACAAATCTCTTCATGCATGGGAAGAATGTTATTCTTGGTTCTATTTGAATGTGAAAAGGAGGAGGGCACATATTACCCAGTACATGGGTTAAAAAATTGCTCTACTGGTGGTGAGCACTATTGGTGAACTGTCCAGCAAAATATGCAAGGCTTCCTTCTAGTACTGTCTAATACTATCTCATAGCTAATGTCAGTTGTGTCAAATTGAAAAACTGCAAGTTATCAGTTATATTACATTTGATGATTTAAAATTACAATGTATCCTGAGACTGTAAGCACATTGTACTAAAAAAAGACTTACAAAGTTTTGTAGCTTAGTAGTTACCTTCTTTTTAAAGTAACAGCTGTGGATACACTAACTTTTAAAAGGCTGTATCTTATTCAGTGGGATAAATTTAAAAAAGGAAAAATATAGTAAGAAAGCATCTTATTATAGGTGTTCTAGGTTGTTGAGGCAGATCTGAGAAATCTTTTTTTAACTTTTCAAGGATCGAAGTCTTCAGTAAAAGTGTGTGTGGGGGAGTCTAGATTATAAGGAAGGGTGTGCTAACCTATTTGGTTGTATGGTGCTGCTCGTAGAGAGGATATCCTTGTTTGTTTTTCTGTAGTATGATTCATATCACCATGGTTAAATTGCCTGATAAGGATAGCAGTTTGCTAAGTAGAGCCTTGTGCAAATACTGTGAAAGGCTGTGGGACCTCCCATTCCCGGCTTGATTATCTGTCTGTGCGAATAGCAGCACAGAGTGTGGGAGAGGCTGGTGGCGTGATGGGGGCTCCGCCCCATAGCCTGCATGGTTGACATTGACAGATAACCTCCCTTCTGTGGCAAAAGCAGCACTCTACTGATTCGAGCCATGAATTTGCACTGTTCTGTATTACGCAGGCTTTTGTCAACCTTTCCTAGTGTTATGTTGTCCTAGGTGTCTTTGACAACAACTTCCCTGACCAGGTTATCTGGGGACAATGGGTCTTCTGAGAATTATTTGGAGGACACAACATTGCAGGCATAATGTTTTTTCTCTTCCTTCTTTGGTGAATGTGCTGGATCAAATGATACATGTATCAGATCAGTTGAAGTCTTTTAGATGTCAGTCTTTCTTGGGATATTTCTTTTTCTAAATACAATCAAGAGTGAGATACATATAGCCTTCCAGATGATGATGGATTTCATTTTCCATTAGACCTAGCCAGCATGTTGAGCAGGGAAGGTTGATGGAAATTGGAGCCTAGCAACACAGCTACAGAGTTTCCCTTTTATCTAGCTTCGCAGGTAGAAAGTTGACTATGGTCACACTAGTGAGGAAGAAAACTTTGGCACATATTCTGAAGGTTTTCTTTATTAAGGGCAAGTTTTTAGTCTAAACACAGGTATCAAAATATGCTAATCCAGATCTGTTGTGTATCTTTCCTGGTAAGAAAGCTGATTTCCATTCCTTACAAGATTAAGATAGGAGTGGAGCTGACAAAAAAGGCCAACTCTCAAGGAAGGAAGAGCTTTTAACTGCATTGTGAAGAAGATGCCATTTGATTCTCTGTGGCTTCCTATCAGAGCCAAAATGGCTGCATGTTCACAAAGAACACTACCGTGATCCACTAAACACATACAACATGTCTCAACGGATATTGAAATGCCTGCTCTTGCTTTCCTTTTGTGAGCACATGTATGCAAGCACAGCTCACAGTGATACCACTAACTTTTAAAGCCCTTAAACCTAGGAAGCCAGATACTTAATGAACTCTTTCTTTCTAGCTGCTTCCCCTTGTTGGTTAAAGCCATCTTTAGGGAATGTTTTCATCATTATTAAAATTTGGTCAACGCTGCCAGTTTAGAATTAATTATAAAAATATAGGTGTGTATGTTATATAAGTAAATGAGACAGAGCTGGATTTTCCTACAGTGAATGCATTGACTTCCAACTAAGTGTCTTCAAAAATAAAAGATGCTTGATTCACACCTGAGAGGCTCTGGTTGTAGCCAGATGAGCTGTTTGTTTTAAAAAGATCCATCCCTCTTTCTAATGTCTAATGATGTTGTCTTTTGTTTTGCAGCTGTGAGTTTATGTGGCAGGAACGAGTTTCAGTGTGGGAATAGAGATTGCATCCCTTACAAATGGATTTGTGATGGCAAAGCTGAATGTCAAGATGGTTCTGATGAGTCTCTGGATACCTGCAGTAAGTTCTCCATCATTTTCTCTGTCTGCCAAACCATCCTGCAGAAGACAGCTATGCTCATGAATTCCCATGCCTGTGTATTCTCTAAGTTTCTCCAAACACTTTCAAGATGGATGTTTCTAAGGCTTTATTTGCATAGTCTTATAAATCATGCTCCAAAATTGTTATTTCTTACTTGTCTCCATGGGGTACAGACAGGAGAGGGAGCATGCCTTGATACCGAGCAGTTGGTTATTTTGAGAATGGACATAAGACATGCTACTCAGTTGAAACTTATATTTATATTTCAATTCCATGTGTAGAGAAAACACATTAGTTTACTGTTGGACTACAGTTGACCTTCTGTATCCATGAATTCAATTATCCATGGCTTTTTTAAAAAAAAGCAATTACTGGTAGTAATCCTTGATTCTGCAAGTTTGTGTAAGGGGCACTGAATTGAATAAAAGGGGACTTGAGCATCTGCAAATTTTAATATCCATAGGGGTCCTGGAACTGAACCCCAGCAGATACCAAGGGACCACTATACAATAAAAGGAAACATATTTTTAGAAAACAAATGGGGAGGACACTACATTGATGTCAGCTGGGATTGGATGTAATGACTATTAATAACAGTGTGCCTCACATTAAGTCTCTTGGAATTCTATGCAACAGAGTATTGTGAATGCCAGGCAAAATGCCATTTTTGCAAATGTTCAAAGGGATTTCAAAAGAAGATGTAGACTACATGCTATTGGCAACTGTACATTTATTTGACCTGTTTCTGGCCAGGGGTAGCAATGTTTAAAACAGTAGTTGTTGGGGTTTGGGTGGTAAAGGCAGCAGATTATTTATAATATAGTAGTCATCTTTTAGACACCACAAGATTTTGCTATATTATTAAACTTCTGTCAAAGGTCGTAGCAACTATCTCTATGTCTCCTTTAACCAATTTTATTCCCCATCCAGGCATAGAAAAGAGGTAGCAAAACTTAAACCACCCTTTCCTCTGTTTTCGGCATCAGTCCCTTCCAGGTGATTTAGAATTGTTATGCCACAATAATATTTATATAGTAAAATCTGGATTTTCTTTGTTTTAGAATCTGTTACCTGTGATCCAGGCCAGTTCAGCTGTGGTGGCCGCATAAATCGTTGCATCAATATGAGCTGGCGGTGTGACTCTCAAACTGATTGTGAAAATGGTTCTGATGAAGAAAACTGCCGTAAGTGGGGCTTGGTCTTTGAAACCGATGGGCAGTCATAGTGCCTTTTTGACCTTTGGATGGATGGGGCAGGAGTGCTCTTGGGACAGAACCTTAGATTCTGGTCCTGTAGCTAAATTTGGAGTCTAAATGCTAGTGATGTAATAACATGGAATTTCAGATATTCAGTGAGTGGCCTGGTTGTGCAGGGATGTAAGGTTCACCACAGAAGATGGTGTTACGCTATTAATTATGATATTGGTGGCAAGAAGGTTACAAGTAGCTTTTACAAATGGAAATGTATGAAACTCCAGTAATTTTCAGGCTTGTTTAACAGAACCTGGAGCTTTCTTTAACTGAAAAAGTGTTTGCAAAAAGTGTGATAGCCCAAGTTTTCAACAATTAAAAAAGAAACTACCCTAGAGTGCAGGAAGATGTATTTGCTGAAGTTCATATGTGAATTTAAATGCATGAATTTAGATATTAGGATAATGGCTTGTCATTTTGTAGAAACCACTTGTTCACTGATTTGTTCTATGTTGTGTGTGTGTGTATGTATGCACACAGTGTTGCTGTTATATATCACGGCAGGGACAAAATATGACTGATATTTTTGTCATTTTATCATGCAGCACCTAAAACCTGTGCAGATAATGAATTTCAATGCAAAAATGGGAATTGTATTACTCTGGACTTTGTCTGTGATGAAGACCGTGACTGTGAAGATGGGAGTGATGAAGAACACTGCTCTCCCCCAACCTGTAACCCCGAAATGTTTCATTGCAACAGCTCAGAGTGCATCCCTAAACTCTGGGCCTGCGACAATGATGCAGACTGTAAGGATGGGTCGGATGAATCACCAGCGCTCTGTGGGAAGCAAGTGACCAACCCCTGCTCCCCATTGGAGTTCCACTGTGGCAGTGGCGAATGCATCCATCAGAGTTGGCAGTGTGATGGTAGCTTTGACTGCAAAGACAGATCAGATGAGGCAAACTGTGGTAAGTTGCAAAAAGTATGGACTGAAGGGGTGCTTGTGTTTGTTACCCTTGAGAGAATACCTGACAGATGTTTCCTAAATGTTCCTCATCAAGTAGGAGTTGGACTACTCACCTCATTTTTCTGGGTTGGGCTGAAGAATAGAATGAAATGCTTCAAGTGAAGGATGAAAGCTCTACAGCCTTGACATTAAATTGGGCTGCAACTGTCTGCATTAACCGCATTGGTTCTGTTGCTAGGTCTGATGGGAGGTTACAGTTCAGCATGATTTGAAAGGCTTCACAATTCCCACTTGTGTAATTGCTGAGAAATGATATCACATCACAGCTCTAAAGCACAGGTCCATGTTTCCCAGTCTCCTGGTTTGATTCTGCAGAATTCTGGGAAATGTAGTTTAGAGTGGAGCCTTTGGAATTCTCACCCAGAGAGATCCTTGGCTTCCCTAAACTACATTTCCCAGAATTCTGCAGGATCAAACCAGGCGATTGGGAAATGCAGACCTGTGCTTTAGAACAAATGTGATATTGTCCCAAGGCTACAAGTTAATAGAGAGCTGTGACAGGTTTTGTGAGAGACTTTGAACTACTGAGAGTCTGAACTGGAGCGGACTTATTGCACCAGTGGGGTTTACATAAGTGTTGCTGTTTGACAGGTAATAATAATAGCCTTGTAAAGTAGGTTCAGTATATTCAGGTAGGGAGGTTGGAAGAAATTACCTTTGGCATTCAAGAAATTTGAACTGGGAACTTCCTGATGCATGGTTCAGCCTGGGAGTGCATAAACTGTGTACAAGTTCCCACAATATGTAGGATTTTTATAGTGCTTTAGAGTAGTTTTTGATCAGTCAACAACACTATCCTGTTGTGATTTCATAACAACTGAAGGTGTGAATTTTCTGCTGATGTCTTGTCCATAAAACCCTTTGCTTTCCCTCTAGCAAAAGCCACGTGCCGACCAGATCAGTTTGAATGTAATGATGGCACTTGCATCCACGGAAGCCTTCAGTGCAACAAGGAGAATGACTGCAAAGACATGAGTGATGAAGTTGGCTGTATCAATGGTGAGGACAATTTTCTGACCTTATGGATCTGGGGTGATAACTGCAAGCGAGGGTGGGAATTCATTGGGTTGCAGTCAAAGATCTGAGGGACAGAGAGGTTATTATACTCCACCCATGTATGTGGACCTCAAAAGATAAACACTGTGGTAGATCCATGGCACTCCCAAAGGAGGTACAATTGCTTCCAACTTTTATGCCAGGTAGTGGGTTTTTTAAAAATGTAATGTTTGTTTTAAATCTTGCTGAACTATCTGGGATCCCCTGTGAGCTGAGGGTGGTTGTGGACAGACAGATTGATAGATAGCTGAATATCTGGCTGGTGGACAAAATACTTGCCTTTCCTTACCCTGTCATAGCCTATAGTATCTAACCTCATCACAACCTTTCCAGTATGGAAATGTAACCCAAAAGGCTACAATGAACTAAAACAATGGTATCTTATATTTTTGGTAGTGACAACATGCACAGGACCAAATATATTTAAATGTGGCTCTGGCGAATGTATCACTATGGACAAAGTCTGCAATGGCCTGAAGGACTGCAGGGATTGGTCTGACGAGCCCCTCAAGGAGTGCCGTAAGAAGTTTTAATTTTGTTTTAGCTTTTACATGCAGCACGACCTCCATATCTGCAGGTAGTGTTTCTGTACTTACCATGGAAATGCAAAAGTGCAGATAATAGTGAAGCCTATTGAAATGAACGCTTTTTGGTGGAAACATATTGTAGAATCACTTTCTACCATTTCTAAGTCCTCCAGTAAGACCTTGTTTATGGTCAACTTCTATCAGAAGCATACTATATAGAATCATACCAGAAAATGTTTTGAGAAAACACCTCTGTAGCATTTCTAGGTCCCCAACTCAACATTTGGTTGAAGGATACCATAGAGTCATGCTGGGGGACCTAGAAAATTTCTGGGAAATACATACTTTTCTGATGTGAGTGAAAACACAGATACCAATGCTGTAGATATGGAGGTCATACTGTAGTATTGTGTAATTTAGTGTTTTAATTGTACTATGCCTGTATATATATTGGGTACAATAAGTGGTGTCTCAAACTACCAAATATAATTCAGTAAACAGTGGTTTGCAGGAGATTTCTGATTGTGTCTTGTGTTTCTGTCACCAAGTAAGCTACTGCCCTAAGTAAACAATTAGATCCAACTAAATTTCAAAATCTAAGTTAATTGAAGTTTCACTGTGATAAGTGTTAATTTCTTGTAGAAATTGATTGTTCTTGGTTGATAAAAATATCCAAGGAAATTCAAAACACATGCAATGCATTCCTTTGAAGCCCTTTGTGAACAGCCATGTTTTAGCTGAAAGGATATTGCCCAGAGCAGGTGTCTCAACTGAGAAAGGCCCGATTCTTTTGATAGTCACCCACTAGTAGGCTCAAGAGGTAAAATGGAAATTGTTTTGAGGACTAAACTCCCTGGTCTATATCAGTGGACATTGCCCATTTGTATGACAGTAGACTAAAAGGTAAACTATAAACTTGATATCCCAAACAGACAACCAATTGTAAAACCAATGAAAGGTCCTTAGAAGTGATATATCTAAGGGAAGTGCCATGATGTATTATTTTTGTTTTCTTCTAGGAACCAATGAATGTCTGGCCAACAAAGGTGGTTGCTCCCACATATGTAATGACCTCAAGATTGGATATGAGTGCTTATGTCCTGAAGGCTTCCAGTTGATTGACCAAAGAAAATGTGAAGGTAAGTGGTTGGACTCTCATTTCTTTCTGCAAAATGTCTTCCTCTTAATGCACTTCAAATAGTTTCAACTTTATCATTTTATTGGAAATTAATAGGTCTGTAATTAAAGATTTAAACATGGAAAAAAAATGAGATTTGAGCTGCTCAATTGGACTAATATTTCCACCATCTCTGAGTTATAGATGTGATAGTAGTGCTTAGATGCAGGAAGTTTGCTTAAGTTACCTTCCTGAGGAGAATTGCTATTTTTATGCTTCAATTCATATGAAGGTCTCATCTCTAGCTTCCTCAGTGCCATCTGCTAATGTATATAAAATGTTCTCATTCATGTCACATGCATTCACTATATACGTGCACATGAAGAAGGTCAACCATATTGATGTGTATCAGTCATAGCGGTTACTGTACAAACATCTGGTTGTGTGGTCTAGCAAACCAAAGATAAGATGCATCCATTATCTCTTTCTTTGTGGTGTTACAGGAGGTTCTTAAGCTAGCAAATTGCATGTCAGTCTGGTTCCACAGAGGTTTGTTGTTTAGTAACTTTCTCTTGGCTTTATAGATATCAATGAGTGTCTCAACCCTGATACCTGTAGTCAAAGCTGTGTGAACCTGGAAGGAAGCTATAAGTGTGAATGTAAAGAAGGCTACCAGATTGACCCTGTGACAAAGACGTGCAAAGCCATCGGTAAGTCTGAGTTGATTTTAGCCTTACACTAGAAATACAGCCATTTCAAGTCACTTTGGCTTTATGGCAATGGCTCTCTAAGTAGGAAAATGCACTTGACAAAGACCTGTTACATCTTAAATGTTTTCATTGATATAGCAATATATTTTATAGAATGAAAATCTGCATTTTACAAATTTGAGTGGCTTTGTACTTTTATGTAATAAAATACCCTTTATTTTAAATATTGGTTCCCTTCCATTTTTATTAGCAGAATAGCTTTTGCTAAGAATATGTGGTGCCTTTTGTCTCTTTCTAAGTCATTGTGAACCATTAGTTCTTGATTTCAGGTGATGGCATTTTGTTATCTTTAAGTTTTAGTTTATCTCTCCAAAATTCTTGGAACCAAAAATGTTTTGGATTTTTTTTATTTTGCAATTCCCATATTTGGTTATATGAATGAGATATTTTGCATGTGGAATTCAAATCTAAACATGAAAACTAAAGATGTTCCATATAAACCTTATACACGTAGCCTGAAAGCAATTTTATGTATGTTGCTTACAATAATATTGTGCATGAGAGAAGTGTTGTGTACATTGGATCACCAAAAAGCAAAGTTGGCACTATTTCAACCACCTCTGTTTTGGATAGTTTTGGATTTTGGAGTATTTTGGATTTGAAATTCCTGATAAGGGGTGCTCAACTTTTACTGTACGAATTTTTCTTTGCAGCATGTTAATTATGTTGCGCATGATTTTAATTTCAAGCATCTGGGAAAGCATTAATGACCTGCTCTTTGTTGTATGCAGTTAGAGAGTTTCCTATCTAAGCTGTATAACTTATTTTATGTGGATTAATTGTATTGAGTTCAATCTTGTGGTTACATCTCTGAGGACTGAAGTTAGTTGTAGTTTGGACTTCTTTTTTAAGACAGGGAATGGTTAGATTTTAACTGCAGTTTTTCAAACTTTGATCTGAACTCTTGCTTGTGCATTGAAGGGCTTATGCTGAAGGCACTAGAGATCTCAGTCTCCCATTTCTTGCCTTTTCTAGGTACCATTGCATATCTTTTCTTTACCAATCGCCATGAGGTCAGGAAGATGACTCTGGATCGCAGCGAGTATACAAGCCTGATCCCCAAACTCAAAAATGCAGTGGCCTTGGACATGGAAGTTGCCAACAACAAAATCTACTGGTCTGACAGCTCTCAGAAAAAAATATTTAGGTAAACACTGTATGCTCTGGAGAAAGTATGCTGTCTTTGTTGTTAGATGAGTCAGCTAGCAACTAAGTGAAAACTTGGTGTCTCTAAGACGGTATTTTACATGCAAAGGAAGAGATGAGCTAAAAGGGAACCAGAGTTTTTGAATTGGGAGGCAGGGAGAATAAATTGTATTTATCTGCACAATTTGGAAAATTTGCGATCTATTCTGTGCAGTGGAACTTCATTTATTTCAGTTATTTTAGGGAGCACCAGAAATAGCTAGCAATGAGGTAGTTGCTGTTGCTAAAAATGTCTGGCTGGATCTACACTGCAATATAGTGCCGTTTCATAATATAGATTAACCTCATTGAACTGGAGTATATGAATCTACACTGCCATACAATCCAGTTCAATGCACTTAGTCTACATTCTGAAACTGCATTATATGGCAGTATAGATCAAGCCTCTGTGTTCATAAACTCACTTCTGCTTGGTTGATGTCTTTCTGTTCATTGCAAAACTAGAAATGAGTGATAAATGACTGGTATTAAACAACCAGACTTGCAGTACAACCTCCATATCTGCAGGGAGTGTTTCTGTACTTCACATGGAAATGCAAAAGTGTGGATAATAATAAAGCCTATTGAAACAACTTTATTTATTTAAAGGGTGGTCCCTTTTTTTTGTTTCCCTCATAGCACCCCAATAGATACAGCTCACAACCACTCCCACCATACTACAGTGATTGATAGTGGCATCCGATTCCCAGATGGCCTAGCAGTTGATTGGATACACGGCAACATTTACTGGACTGACTCAGGGCTGGGCAGTATCTCTGTGGCCAACAGCGACGGCTCAAAGAGGAAGATGCTGATCAAGGAACTTGGTGCCAAGCCACGGGCCATTGTGGTGGATCCAGTTCGTGGGTACGTGAGCACTGGAAGTACAGTGGGTGTCATAATCATGTGTTATTTAATTATAACATCCCCTGTGTAGTCTACCAGCAGATGGATAAATGGATGGGGGAGAGGTGGGAAAGGAAATAGGAAGGGAAGCTGAAGAACTGCTAGTTCAAGGAGAAGTGATACCTTATTTTGGGGGAAGCTATGTTTGAAGGAAGGAGTTGACTGGTTTAAACTGACTTCTCCCTGCATTTCTTTGTCTCTCCCTTCCCTTGTTCTGTGATTAGATTCATGTACTGGACTGACTGGGGCATATCTGCTAAAATTGCCAAAAGTGGTTTGAATGGAGTGGACAACTTTCCTTTGGTGACAGAAGGCATTCAGTGGCCTAATGGAATAACACTTGGTAAGTTCTATGTAGCTCTGGAAAATCTCTCAGTAAGAATAGGTCAGCGCAGGTGGACAGCTTCAATTGATCTGGGGGCAATTTTGCATTCTTGTATCAGTTCCCACTGCAACCCAGACTTCTCTCTCATGATACCACTCATTACATATTGATTGAGTTAACTAAATCTACTTATAATAGTTAAAGAAAGGTTTTTGGGGAATGTGTCATTTGCTTAAGACTTAAACCAAACTTAACCCCCCCCCCCCCCCCCCCCCCGAAATTCTTATGGTGGTCCGTGAGAAGGCCTTACTAGTGCATTATTTAAACTGTTATGTTTATTCAGATCATGATCTGACCACCATACTCAATATATCCCATATGCATAGGGGTATTGGGGTAACGATACAAAAGGTTTGCTAGGGTAGACCCTCTTTCGCTCAGACTCAGCCCCCCCCCCCCCCCCCCCCCCCCCCCCCCCCCCCAAATCAAAATCCTGGCTACAGGCCTGATGGACAGGTTTCTGATTGTGTTGTGCTTGCTGAATTCGTTTCTACATAAAGCTAGACAGCCAGTATTAATGTACTTTTTACTTTAAAACTAATTTTAAAATTAATTTACTGTGTTTTTATATGTAATTACTTTATGTATTATTTATATGTAATGGCATCAGATTGTGCTGGATGTAAGCCGCCCTGAGCCCCCCCCCCCCCCCCCCCCCCCCGGGGTGTGTGTTGAGAACAGTGGGATATAAATGTTTGAAATAAATAAATACTACCAAAAGTCATTGGTTTCTGTTAAGAATTTGCTCAGGAATCAAGAGTAGATATATTTGCTGGCCCCGATTGTAAAAACTTAGATCTTAAACATGACCAGGTCTTGCTGGGCATCTGAGTTCATGTTTTTTTCCTCTTTGATGGTAGCAATAAATTAGCCTAGCTCTTGGGAGCTGCTAGGATGGGTGGGAGATATGATTTGAAATGCATGCAGTTGAACACAGTTTCTTGGAAACCCGCTTTATCCTGAAGAAGTATGACAATTGTATTTAATGTAAAATAGGGATTGATATGGAGAATCCAGATTAGAAATGGGTGAATTTATGGCTCAATTTGAAAGTTACCCCCTAGAGCAAAACAACAAGAAGTTTGTGAAATATGAATTGAGAAAATGTTCGTCTCTCCATTTTCATCTCTCATATTGTTTGGCTAGTTTTTGCAGATATAAATAGAGAGTTGAGATTTGCTGTGTTGTTTTGACACTTTTCTTCTCTTCTAGATTTGGTCAACCAGCGTCTCTACTGGGTAGACTCCAAGTACCACTCCGTATTCAGCATTGGTGTGGATGGAGGAAACAGGAAGACCATTCTTATGAATGAGGAGAAATTGGCTCACCCTTTTGCCATCACAGTCTTTGAGGTGAGGCATGACACACCAAAACGCACTGGGGAATGTCTGTAGTCAGGAAATACCACATTCAAGAGACTGAATGAGTTCTTCTCTTCTTTACACTGGTTCCTTCTCAAAAAGTACTCCCTTTCCTCAGAATATTCATTCTCTCTGTACAACTGGGATGATGAAAGCAGGCACATTGAATCTTGAAATTAGTGCCCATGGCAATTTGTTATGAAAGTGTTTAATTTTTTAAAATGCCATTTTACATTGCTTAGTGTATGTGCATGCAATAGTTTATAATTTCTATACATGTATCAGTGACCAGGGGGATTCTATTACAGAGCTTTCCAATAATTTCTTTGTTGGAGACAGACTTTGTAGACATGCATCATTTTTCAATACAGTAATTTAGTTTTACTAGCAAATGCAAGGTTAAACTAACCCCTTATGAGACACACACACACACATATGATAACAAAATATATGGGGACACATAACATATATTTCCAATATTTTTATCATTTCTCTTCGCATGACACAGCTACACACTGTAGCTGACACATTTAACATGTTATGACACAAAAATTGAAAAGCTGTGCTCTGTTGTTTTACCTTTATGCTTAGCTCCTGGGCCAACTTAGAATAGTACAGTATGGTTCGTGTTGGTTGCTGGCCCTTTTTCTCTGCCCAGAGTAATGTGCTGTTATAAGTAAATTTGAAGTGACTCCGGTGATAAGTCGCATTCTGATTCCTCTCTCTCAAATATTGAATTGTCACTCAGGATAAAGTGTTCTGGACTGATGTCATCAATGAAGCTATTTTCAGCGCCAACCGCTTGACGGGCTCAGATATCACCAAGGTGGCACAGGACCTGTTTTCACCAGAGGATTTGGCTCTTTTCCACTCTGTGCGGCAACCAAAAGGTATCTATTATTTTGCTTGTCTTTAAGCTTGCTCATAGCTACATATATAGGCATGTTTCCATTTTCCCTCCTTTATGTCTTTCCCTTTTTGTACATTGCATTTTAGATTGTGGGCCTGATGTTGTGTCTTGCATTTTGTTTTGTAAAAAAATGTACAAGAAGTAGCAAAGGTTAGAAATAGCTGAGCATTGAATAAATGACCAGCGTAGGTTTTGTTTTGGATTTTATGAATAGTTCCATTAGAAAATGTATAAGAATATGGGTAAACTACAATTCCCATCATTATCTATAATTGCTCCCAATCTGCACCAGTTGTTAAAGCTGGTCATGCTTGGCATGTGTGCCAAGTTTGGTCCAGATCCAAAGTCGGTGGGAATCACAATGCACTTTGTGGGTGAACTACAACTCCCAAATCCCTCCAGGATTTTTTTTCTGGTCATGAGGGTTCTGTGTGTGAAGTTTGGTCTAAAGCTATCATTGATAGGAGTCACAGTGATCTGTGGATGTGGGAGCCATCTCGGGAAATGCATGCTTATAAACACTGATTAAAAGACAGACAGATGGAAACATACAAACATTTTCACTTTTATTCTATAGCAGGGGCCCTCAAACTAAGGCCCGGGGACCGGATACGGCCCTCCAAGGTCATTTACCTGGCCCTCGCTGAGGGTCAACCTGAGTCTGAAATTACTTGAAAGCACACAACAACAACAACAACAACAACAACAACAATCCTATCTCATCAGCCAAAAGCAGGCCCACACTTCCCATTGAAATACTAATAAGTTTATATTTGTTTAAATTATTCTTCATTTTAATTATTGTATTGTTTTTAAGTGGGGTTTGCACTACAAATAAGATATGTGCAGTGTGCGTAGGAATTCATTCATGTTTTTCTCAAATTATAATCCGGCCCTCCAACAGTTTGAGGGACTGTGACCTGGCCCTCTGTTTAAAAAGTTTGTGGACCCCTGTTCTATAGTATATGGAGGAATATATTGATTGTATAGTGAATATATATTGAATAGATATAGATTAGTATTTAATTTTCAAAATCTCTTGTTTTTTAAAAAAATGGTTTTTCCCCTCCCTTCCTTTACAGGTGTGAACTGGTGTGAAAGGAGTGGCGTCACCAATGGAGGTTGTCAGTACCTATGCCTTCCTGCCCCACAAATCACCCTCCATTCTGCCAAGTATACCTGTGCCTGTCCTGATGGCATGTACCTAGCTAAAGACATGAGGAGCTGCACAACAGGTACCAAAGCAAAATGGGAAGCACCAGCAGGGACCGGGGGAGCCATATGTGGGAGGAAGTGTGCCTGTGAAGGAGAGGATGTGTGCCTATCCCCTGTCTTTGTAAAGGCAGGAGAAATGCTCACCTTGACTGAGTTATTGATACATTGTTTTGTCCATTACACAGATCCTGTTGTTCCCAGCACCATAGCTCCTGTCCCCACTGCCCCAGCTCCTGTTCCTGATATCCCAGTTCCTGTCAATGTCACAACTCGGCCGCCCACCACAACAAGGATTACACCTAAGACTCCAAGGATGAGAAATGCATCTGTTCCTAGCATCTCTGAACATACCACCCAAGAAATGGTCACTCTTTCTCAGAAAGGTAAGGAAGAATATTTCAGTTGCTCTTAGGATGACACTTGTGCCAGTCCTGCAAGACCTTTTTGGAAACTTTATTTGGTGGATTATACCAGTAGCAGAAATTTGAAGTGATTTGTGATTTTACTTAGTTCATTTTGCCTGTTAATATTTGGAAATAATGTTGAACTACTTCCTGTGATTTGGGTGTTGCTAAGAGAACCAATGGCTGTAACAGTTTGAGTGTTGGGGACTGTGACTCTGGAGAATAGTTAGTTTTAAATTTCTTAGTTTTAAATGTGTCTTGGTGTTATTGTCTAATGTTTATTGCTATTGTTTTAATGTTTATTGCTTGTTTTATGAGTTTATTTATTGTTGTATTTGTTGTGCTGCTGTTTTATTGATGTGTTGGGCCTCGGCCTCTTGTAAGCCGCACTGAGTCCTTCGGGAGATGTTAGCGGGATATAAATAAAGGATTATTATTATTATTGTTAGTCCAATTCCCTGCTCAGCCATAGAAGCCTACTGGATGAACTTAGGCAAGTCCCATTCTCTTAGCTTTAGAGGAAAGGCAGCTCTGCTCAGGCTGAATCCTGCCAAGCAAACCCTGTGGTATGTTTGCTTGGAAACAACTTGAAGGCAGCACCAGCAAGAACAACAAAAGGGAGGTGTTTTCAGTGTGAAGGTTGCCATTTGTCTAGTTAACTTTCATTTTTGGATTACAACATCCAGACCAGTCCAACTGGGAAATTTCCTGAAAGCTGCAGTCCAAAAATATCTTTTTCAAGAAAGTAAGAAAACAGCATTGTGAAAACACCTCAGCTTAGCACTATCATATGGTTCTCCATCACAATGTTCCTGAGGGCCTTTTACTCTAGCACTTAAGACCTGGCTTTTTACTAGAGCATTCAATCTCTGTTAATTTTTAAATTCTGTATGTATGTATTTTATCTTTTACAATTTAGCTGTAAATCGCCTAGAGCATTCTCAGATGGAGGGCGATTAATAAGTAATTAAATATGATGATGATGATGAAAACTTTATATGCATTTTATCATAGGCAAAAATTTGGGCTTTTGTAACAAATAGTGACAAATTGTCTTATGACATTTCAGCTTTTGTCTGATCAAGAAGTGTCAAACTTGTGTCCCTCCAGATGTTTCAAATTACAACTCTCAAAAGCCTCAGACACCTGGAGGTGGGCACAAGTTTGACACCATTGGTCTAATCCAGGGGTCCTCAAACTTTTTAAACAGAGGGCCAGGCCACAGTCCCTCAAACTGTTGGAGGGCCAGATTATCATTTGAAAAAAAATGAAAGAATTCCTATGCACACTGCACATATCTTATTTGTAGTACAAAAAAAAACACTTTAAAACAATACAATATTAAAATGAACAATTTTAACAAATTTAAACTTATTAGTATTTCAATGGGAAGTGTGGGCCTGCTTTTGGCTGATGAGATAGAATTGTTGTTGTTGTGTGCTTTCAAGTTGTTTCAGACTTAGGTTGACCCTGAGTGAGGGCTGGGTAAATGACCTTGGAGGGCTGTATTCAGCCCCCGGGCCTTAGTTTGAGGACCCCTGGTCTAATCCAATAACATGAAGAGGGTTGGTGTAGAAGAGTATTAATATGTGTTTAAGACTAAATTTGAAAAGTAGCGTTTTCAAAATCTGCTCCACCTCCTTTTGCATATCAGCATTTTTGGAGAGAGTGTCATTTTGTGTGTTCTTTCTACTCAGCTCGAAATGGGATTGCTGCAGAAATAGATGGGGCCAGACAGAGGGGCCCACCAGCGCTTTCTATTGTCCTGCCATTAGGTAAGTCCCCCTCTTTGTATTCTATGATACATTGGTTCTGCTAACCCATTTGTTCCCAACCTTTCTTTGACTGGGGACCACTCTCCAACATTAGTACCAAAAGGGGGTGGGGCAGGTCAGCTCTGCAGAAAGGAGCGGAAATAAAATAAAGAGGAAGGAGGTTCGTGGATTGGATTTTTGTTCTCACGTCCCATTACTGGGTCGCAGCCCACAGGTTGAGAACCACTGTACTAACCAAAATCAGTGTTTGTGCTGAAAGTGTGGCCTTGAGTTGAACCTCTTCACTAGTATAGATCCAAAAGCTATATTGTGTTTTATTTTTCACTTTCCTAAATAGTATAGCATAGTCAATGTTATCTTGAGCTATTACAGAAAAACAAACAAATCTTCATTATGGTCATAGACCATAGACTGAGCTGTTACAATATTTCACTTACAACAACAAATCTCCTGGGGTTTTTTTTCCAGTCCTGATTTGTCTAGTCTCTTTTGGGGCTTATCTTGTTTGGAAGAATTGGCGGCTCAAGAATACCAACAGTATCAACTTTGACAACCCCGTCTATCAGAAAACAACAGAGGATGAGATTCACATTTGTCGGAGTCAGGAAGGGTACACATACCCATCGGTAAGAAAACATTTAAAACTGTGGAAATTCTGGTGTCTCAGTGTGGGTTGTGGGTACCGCAAAAAGAGTTTGGGTTTTTTCTTCTCATTTTACCAAAAAGCCAAGCACTGTGAATATTTGTGATCAAGCACACCTCCTGCGACTTCCTTTTTATACTAGTTCAAAAAGATCTTGACAACCATAATAATTTACTCCTACACCATAATTTCCCCTTGATTAAGTTTCTCTTCCTAAAATAAGTGAGACATGGGAAGCAACATAGGAAATGAAGTTAATTCAAAATGGAGCTTGTTACAACTCATAAGAATTAGGCTCCATCTACACAGTTTCAGAATACAGATTCAGAATACAGATTAGCTACATTGAACTGGATTATATGATTCTACTCTGTCATATAATTTAGTTCAGTGGAGCCCCCAGTGGCGCAGTGGGTTAAACCCCTGTGCCGGCAGGACAGAAGACCGATAGGTCGCAGGTTTGAATCCGGGGAGAGGCGGATGAGCTCCCTCTATCAGCTCCAGCTCCTCATGCGGGGACATGAGAGAAGCCTCCCACAAGGATGATAAAACATCAAAATCATCCGGGCGTCCACTGGGCAACGTCCTTGCAGATGGCAAATTCTCTCAAACCAGAAGTAACTTGCAGTTTCTCAGGTCGCTCCTGACACGACCAAAAAAAAAAAAAAATTAGTTCAATGCAGATACTCTTCATTCTGAAACCACATTATATGGCAGTATAGATTCAGCCTTACCACCTCTTCACATAGGAAATTTTTGCCCTGTTTTGCCACTTTGTAAGGACAGGGCCTGCTGTGTGCGATCACATGACACATGGTAGGCCCTGCCCACTTCCCTCCCAAAGTTGGGGGTATGTGCTAAAAGGTCCCATTTCTTCCATTTCCCTGTGTGACTGCAGAAAGGGCAGTGGGGTGGTGCATGTTGCCGCCCTCTCTGTCATCTGATGGAGGAAGGGAAAGGGTACCAAAGCACCCTTTTCCATCCCCTCTTTGTGATGAGAGGAGGAGGGAGGGCACGCGGGGCACCACAAGCTGCCCTGTGCGCCTTCCCTTTTGCTGGCGCAACAGCCGTGCGACAAAGTCCTTAGTTTTCTTTGCCTTCTGTGGTATTCTGTTTGATTCCATGGTAATTTATTTTAAACCAAGCTCTACTGAAGGAGAATTTGAACTCAAAAACTTCTACTACAGCACACCAATGTTCCACTAAGAAAACCCTTAATCTTTTTCTCACACAGAGACAGATGGTCAGCCTGGAGGACGATGCGGCATGAACCTGTTTCAACCCCTGAAGTGCCTCTCTCCAGAATTTGCTGCTTATTTTCAGGAGGAGAACCTGTGTGCCCAGCCTCCAGTTCTCTCAGCCGTCCAACACCACTTCCTGAGTGACTTGGTGGACCTTTTTGCCCACTATCTCTATTATTATTTGTTGTCTTTTAAGAAAGGGCGTTGGTCAACTGCTGTCTATGGAGGACATTGCAAATGAAGCTTGGCAGTTTTGTTGGGTTTTTACTTTTTTTGTATATTTATTTTTTTCTTCTTCTTGCATCCAGTGCTGCCAAGATGCACTGCAGTGTCTGGTTCTCCTTACTCTGGGCAAGGCCACTGTTTTCTCAGTCATGAAGGAGAGTAAGGATTTGACAAAAGAAGAGAAGGCTCTTCTCTGTACGCACTGCTTGGTGTCTCAGGGTCTTCTCAGGGGCTGGCCTTTGTGCCCTGCTGCTTGACTTCGAAAGGCAGGCTGGAGGCCACCAGGGAATGAAGATGAGGCCAGAAGCCAAGCCTGGCTTGTCTGTGAGCCTCGGGAGCTTTTCCTGGGAAGTGGAGCTCAGCCGTCCATGTGCAGACCACAAGAAATGTGTGACTTTGTTCTCTCTGGTTCCAAAGAAAATGCAAAACAAAACACAAAGCTCAAGGCCCTGTATGTCCTATTTGGATCCAGGGCTGCCGGTTCCTCTTCTATCTTTCCCTGTCAGCCCATCTTGCACTTTTGTTTAGTTTTTCTTTGGTCCTGTTCATGATCTGTGTAGCCTTATGGTCTTATATAACGGTATTTGCACTTGATCTGGGTCTCTCTGGCCCCTGCGTGCCAGGAGGATAAGTGGAAACCATCCAACACAAACCAATGAGACAAATAAGCTGACTGTAGGGGAAGGGCAAAGGGGAAGAGCTCTGCATTGACTTGGTGCAGGCCCTCTGTATGGACATGGGACAAGTCGATTGTGCTGGCCAAGAAACCAGGAAACTGAAGCCATTCCTCCTGCGTGTTCTAACTTGACCACAGGTTTTGCAGTTGCCTTATGCTGCTCCTCTTGGTATCAGAATCTTTCACAGCTTTCTCTTGTCTTCAACTTTGCTTTGCTTGGCATACACTCACTTACCTCTTGATTTATGAACGGAAGGGTTTTTTATATGTGGCTGTGAGGAGGGAAGTGGGGGAAATGAAGAGTGGACTCTCCCCTCTTCCACCTCTCACTGTCCTCTCTGATTCTGCACTTTAGAAAGGAATGAATATATTTTGTATGTGTCACTCCGGCAGCTTTCGTGGGTGAAAGTGTTGGGTGGCCAGTTTTCTAAAGCAGGTTGAATCGGAGCTGGTGTGTTCTTCTGCTACTCACTGACATTTCTGTGACAATAAATGCCCTGACCACTAACAATTCAAAAAAATGCTGTAAACTGATATATACACAAAGTAGAATCTGTACAAATTCAGGGATAGCGGTGTAGTTCAGTCCTCTCCAAAAGAGGACTACATTTCATTTATTCACCCATTTCCGCCATAATTGCAAGCAAATGTTGGCAGCATTCTTGAATGAATAATTGGCAACGTTATATTGTTGGCCTAGCAGAGCCAAATTCCCTAACGTTCATGGCGCAAAGCACTACATAGTATACCAAGCAGAATCAGTCAAAATGTTTTTATTTGAAGCTGTGAAAGATTCCGACCTCTTTCTTGTAATTGTCAAGTGTGTAAATAATGTATATGTACAATGTTGAGATATCTATATTTCCTTTGCACAAAAGTTGCCTTGTCTATTTGTACATATGTGCATAAAATATATGAGTTATTTATTTAAGTTTATATTCTTACAGTTGCTAATTTGGCTCTCTCAACAAATCTCTTCCTCTGATTATGCCTCTGTCATTCTTTGTGATTCAAACAAAACTTGGATGGATAAAATAAGTGTGTGTGTATGTATGTACGTCTGAGGGCAGATCAACTGTGATTACATAAAGAGCAACCCTAGTCTGGAACAAATCTGTGAATATAATGTAAGACATGCACTTGAGAAAGTGTACTTTTAAAAGAGAATGTTTTATACACTGTTACATCAAACTGTTTAGATCTCTTGTCCTACATTGATGCTTTGATTAATAAATCATACTTACTTGCTGCTCCTGCTGGTGCTCTTAACAGTGATGCCCTAAAGTGTGGGGTTAGCTGAAACCAAAAGAACGATTAGCTTTGTCTTTTTGTAAGATGTATTCACATTGTTAGTTTGGTGGGGGCATATTTCCTATGCATTTAGTCTGCATTTAACTGGCTGCCTCCTAGCATGTTCTTAGCAATTCAGCAGGAAATGGCAGCAGCTGGTGATGATCTGAAACCATTTACTGTCTTTGATTCTGTTGCTGTTGCATATTCTGAAATGCTTACACTCATGTTTGTATCACTTAAGCGGACTTGCATGTAACCGTCCAAATTCAGAAGCACAAACACTGGTTTGCAGTATCCTGAGTATGATTGTGTTAGTGGCCTAAACAGCATTCGAATGTCCTGATTTGCCCTACCTTGACAACAGATTGGTTCTCTTGCTTTTCTTAATAATGGCATTGTACTAAATCAAGAGCCTTAAAGTGAGTTTTTTTTTATTAGAGTAAAACTTAACCGAGAGGGGCTTTTCTGAAAGGAAAGGTAGCCAATTGACTTGCAGCATGAAGAAGAAAAAACTGGCAAGATATTGTCGAAGGCTTTCATGGCCGGAATCACTGGGTTGTTGTAGGTTTTTCAGGCTGTATGGCCATGGTCTAGACCAGGCATGGGCAAACTTGGGCCCTCCAGGTGTTTTGGACTTCAATGGAATTGTGGGAGTTGAAGTCCAAAACACCTGGAGGGCCCAAGTTTGCCCATGCCTGGTCTAGACCATGGCCATACAGCCCGAAAAAAACCTACAACAACTGGCAAGATACTTTTAGTCTTTGCCTGACTCATTCAGAGCCAAGCAAAGACCCTTAGGATGTCTTAGTGTCTCCTGTATTTGGTATCGCAGGAGTGGCAAGACCTGTGCCAACACCTTTGCCGAGTGAGTGGGTCAAAACAACAGTTTTAGGTCTACGTATCATCCGTTAAGCTCTGTTCTGTCATCCTGTTTTTATCTGTGCTATAAATTCTGTAGAAGAAAATACCTTTTATACACAAGTATTAATGGTGCTAACTTGGAACCCAAAAGGTAGCACTTGGTGAAAAAGCTGCTGCTGTTGCCATTTTTGTTCTCTCTGTAGGGAACCAATGGGTTACTTTAACTTATCTCATGGTCTGTTTGGTTCTTCAGGCTCCTTGGTGCCTTTCTCTCTTGGATGAGTCTTAGGAGAATCGTATCTGCATGGAATTCCTGAGGAAAGCTGTGGTGGTGTGATAGAGTGATCCAGAATTCAGGGTGTTGATGCTAAAATGTTAGTAAATCTTCCATGCTGCAATCAGGAACTGGTGCAGGATTGTCTGGTAAGAATGGAAGGGAGAGGGGGAGTGGGCACCTGCTTATTTGCAGTGGTGTGAATAAGGTCCTTGAAAGATGACTTAGAAATTGGTGGGTGATAGCGCTGTCTCTCCCTCAGTGCCGAATCCTTGTAACTGACACTTTCTCCTCTCTGGATGAGGCGAATCCAAAGCTCAAAACAGTCAAGGTTCTCTATTTCTGGCAAGAAGCTGAGAAGGCACAATTTTCTCCTCACCAGTTTCCAGTTGTGAAAGCAAACATGTTACAAGTCTCTTGAAAGGAAAGAGTGATCAGCCTTAAGCAATTTTTTACAATTTCTTGGGCGACAATGCTCATAATGATTGTCTGTCAGTGGCTGTCTGGTTGGGGCTGATAGAAGTTACAGTCCAGACATGATGGGTACCAAATGGGTGAAGTCGGGCCAGAAATACCTGGTTTTGTGCATCTCTTTGGGCTTTATGCAAGTGCTGAATGAATGAGAGTCCTCTTTGCAGCTGCAGAGCTCTACATTTTTTAAAAAGTGTGCTCTGTTTTTTTAAAATGGGAAAGTTATCCAGAATATGCCGAAGTTCAATAAATCTTGAAATACACTGAAACTGGTTTTGTCAGTTGTGTCTGTGATTCATGCGTCTATATTTTTTAATATTATGACTCATTAGGAAGGTGACAGGCTGTGGGAGGAGGATGGAATTACTTTCTAACTAGAAGTAATTTGAGAGAAACTGAGTTGAAAGCTAGTATGAAGGATTTCAAGCAACTCAAGATACTCAGGCAGCTATTATTTATTTTATTATTATTTACAGCATTTACAGTGTACACATATATGGCAAACATTCAATGCCAATTTTGACATACAACATATACAGACATACGCAGGGGCTATTTAACTTTTTCTGGCCGCCAGGGGAGCTGTCACTTTCATCATCCATCTGCAACACTGATGAAGTACTTCCACATTCCCCGCATGCGTTTTGCTGGAGTCTTTTTATGGCCTCATAAATTAGTTAATTTAGCCTCCCCACACTTTAAGGTGGTACCTAATTTTCCTACTTGACAGATGCAACTGTCTTTCGGGTTGCAAAGGTCAACAACAGGCTACACAATTGGTTGGAAACCAACTCCAACCCGGGCTGGCTTCGAACTCATGACCTTTTGGTCAGAGTGATCTTAATGAAATTGGAGGTTTAAGAGCCGGCCTAGGTCACTGACTATGAATCCAGTTTGCGAAGGCTGGTCCTTCCAATTTTGCATGAGATGAAACATGGCAGATGCTCCAAAATACTACCTTTTTATGTAACCAAAGAACTATAAAACATTAATGTCTGGCATCTAAATGTCATTGTGCCACATTGCACCTCTTGTGTGTGTGGAAAGTGAATTATAAAAAACCAAGGAGAAAGACAGTGTTACTTTGAAAATACATTATATGTCACTTAAAAGTGGCTAATATGAATGCAGTGTTTTATTTAAAAATAATATAATATTGGACAGTTCGGGTAAAACTTGGAATATTTTGCAGGAGGGAAAAAAAGTGGAAGTTTTGGGGCTTGTTGTGCTCTTACAAAGTGGAGAAAGACTGCAGTGGTGGCAAAGAAGCATCACAAAGCAGCCACAAAATCTGAGTGGCTTCCCAAATAATAGGAGACTTGGAAGGAGTAAGACTGCAGATGGCTGAGATTAAAATCCAGCTATAACAAGAACTGAACCAGGCAGGCCAGACTTATGGGAGGGGGTTTCAAAAGGATCCCCCCACCTTGCCCACTCTTACCTGGATTTAGGATGTAAGCAACAGCAATGCTGCCACTGTGTGAGGGTTTTTTATCCCACTGCTGCCACCAACTATGAGGATTCTACGTGTCCCCTCCTCTGCCACAGGAAACTTCTACCATCCCATTACTGGCATCTCATGTGAGGACTTTTTGGATGCTTCTGTTGTTCCTAGGCAAGACTTTATTAATAATCTCATCTCCCCACTGGACACCATCACCCTTGACTACTTGCTGCTATCACTGACACCATGTGTCTGAACTCAAGCTTTCCAATATTCCTTATGTTGCCTCCCCAGAGACTTGAGCATATAATACTAAACAAAAACCAAACACTATACCACAGATTAGTTGCTCAACATCTGAATTTCACACAATAATATCCTATTTCACACACTAATATCCTAACTAACTCTTGACTAATCTTTATCTCTGACCTCAACTAACTTTAACATTCCAAAGTTCCTTGTTCCGTCCCCCAGGAGCCTGATTTGCCTTACTTTATAGTTGCTTGAGGTTGCTTCCTCTTGCATTTTCTCCCAGGGCTGCTGCAGCAGCTTTGCAAGAGTCCTAAAGGTTAATAGTATCAGAGTCTGCAGGCCTCTTTGCAACTATTGGCTTAGAGAGCAGCTCTTTGAGTTTAGGCACCGCCTTTTCTCCCAGGGAAAGATCTCCATTTTAGATTCACCCCTGCCTTTTTAGTTTGAGGAAAGATTTCAGACGTGCTGATGGCTAGGCAGTTAGCTCTGGGAGAACCATTGCAAAAACTAAACTGAGTAAGCTATATTGAGATAATATAGATAGTATATTGTGTTTTGAGCTGTTTTTGAGGTATTATAGACAGATTAGCTTAATTGAGAAGATTAAGTTTTATAGTTATAGAGAGTCTTGACTGCTTTGTCTCCAGAACTAACCTTAAGTTATAGATAGGGGGAAAACCTGCTTTTTTTCTAAACCACAACAGCTTGAGGTTAGGGTGTTAAGATTCCAGAATCTTATCTGCCATCTGGAGAAAAGGTCACCTCTGTAACTAAAGAAAGGAAATAATATTTTTATAGTTTCATCTATTGACTGTTTGTTTGCAACTTTGATGAACTTTGCCAAGTCTTCAAGGACTTTGAATAAATAAATATCATTTTTTGATGTTTAAACCAGTAATAGTCTCAGTTGCTGAGTATCTCAAGCTTCTCAATATAGACACCTGCAGTTCTCTCAGGCATAGAGAGAAGCACGTCACAGATTTATTTTTTATATCGTCTGGAGGGGCTGGCACACTCCTCTACCTAACTGATATCCCCTACTGACTTAAAGTCTTATCAAAGAAGCCCCTCCCTCTATAGCATTATCTGTCAAACACTGTTCAAGTAACTGCTTTCTTTCCTACTGCACTTTCAGAACCTATGTGGGATTGTAGCCTTTGTTCGTGCTAAAGTTATATCCCACATAGGATTTTGGACTGAACTCCCAATGCCTCCTTCAAGACATGATCCTTAATTCCTTTCACAGTTTGGTGTATGCACACAAAACACACCATGCCCCTTCCCAATATAAGACACCACGGTGTTACGCCATTATAGCACTACAATACCATTATGGCAGACCTTCCCTTGAACTTTAATCCAGTTTTGGCAAAAGAGCAATCATTTGCTGGACACAGTCTGTACCACTTCCTGGTCTTCTTCACCGCATATTTTCAGTTGCCAGAGCTCCTTCGGCCTCAGAGGAAAGAGAAGGCTCTTGGAGCTAAGCATCACCTTTTGAAAGTCGCCACTGCTGTACGTATCACTACGTTTCCTCATACAGAACATACCCGCTGAACTACTCACTATCCAAAATGGGAGTTAAAGAACAACTGAAATAATTGCATAGCATGAGTGGGAAAGGAGTTCACTGGCAGATTGTTTTCTCAGCTG